CAAACTAAATAACAGTAAACCTTTTTTTGATTTACGGTATTTTCTTATTTTGATGTTTTGAGCTTTTTTTGTGTTTAGAACAATATATACTAATTTTTAAGGTATTAAATTGAATTTTTGTTCAATAAAAATCTTTCAGATGCGGCTGTAACTGTCCACCCCCCACCACCCAAAACTTTGTCTTCGAAATAAGGGTGCGTCTTATACACCGGTGCGTCTTATATTCTGAAAAATACGGTACATCTAATATAACAACAAATACTGAGTGAGAACAAGACATTTGTCTACAACAGAAAGGGCACACTTTAAATCTAAAAATAAATATTTAGTTAGAACAAGACATTCCTGTATGTCAGAAAGGGGACACTTTAAATCTAAAAACAAGTATTTAGTTAGAACAAGACACATTATGACCAAAAGTAAATGTTTTTATCAACAGGCAGCAGCGTCCATGTTAATTATAGAACATGCACTTTTACTCATTTTATACGACAATTTTTATAATGTAAAAGATGCTAAAGTTTTAGCCAGTTTTACTGTATTTATGATGAAAGTTTTTTGTTTGCCGATCCTTTGTTTTTATTTATCTGAATAAGATAGGATTGAGAACTTTAATGGCATATCAGAAGTTTTACGTTATAAAAACTGAACTGATTTACCGTAAAGATATATCGCTCTGTCAAAGTTACATAGTGATCAGTCTTCCAATATATACATATGAATATATTTTGACTTGGACAGGCTAAAATGCCGAGTTAGCAAACCTTTGAGAGCGAAGGTAGGAGACCTGTAGGGCTGTGGTCTCTGAAACATTTTAAATATAAAAGCGATTTTCTGCTGTTTCCCATATTCTGACAAAACAAATACAGTGGGTTGTGAGAAAGATTTTTTAGCTGAATGACTTCATAGCGATATGAATTTGTAATGCAAGTCTTTTATTCGTAATAGTCATGTCAGGCGGAAACTTGGGTTGTAGCTTGAATCATGTGGACTATCGCTATTTCTTAAATAAATTATGAAATCATACGTATAACTAATATATTACCTTTAACTGCACTTGCGAATGCGAAATGGTCGTCATTTTCAGTTGCTTTTTGTTCCCTACACTAAAAGAAATTGCCCCTTTAAAAGCTCCTAAGAAAAGAAATTATAAGCTTTTCAAAATGTGTAAAATGAAACAGTTGCAATGCTTGGTCTTGAGGGGGGTCTACTGTCATTGAACAATATTATAATTTTATACCACAACTAAAAAAAAAAAAGGTCAGTGAAAGTTTACGTGACAAATTTCGCTTCTTACGATTATGAAAATGTGCACCACCTCCCTGGTTCCAATGTACATGTATAATGCAGTGTATATCCCTTTTTTATACCTGATGTTATTCTTCAACACAGGCTGCCACCTAGTTTCTGATAGGTGCCCTGCGAACGTGGACTGCAATTGAATGTCGGTTAGACGTGGTGAAAAACTGTTTGATGTTGAAAACTGCATGGTTGTATTTCCTTAGTTATTTAATTATTAAATTTTAAAATAGGAAACATAATTTTGGACCACCCTGCATAATATTTGGACAATTTAAAAAAAATTCCATTAGCAATGACCTCGTACTCAGGACATCATTTAAGTTGAGATATTTAAGGTTAAATGTTATATAGTTCTTAGCTGAATAAAATAAAAACTCGGTAACAATTCTACTGTACGATTATTCCCGTAATTGGAAATTAAGTCCTTGTTTATTGTCGTGTCTCGTGATTGTTCAGTTGCTGAAGAACAATTATGTGTTTGAAGAGAAGCAAATGTACAGTAACTTGAGTAAGTCTTTTGTCTGCGACAAGTCAATGTTTAATTTAAATTAGTTGAAAATATTCGAGATTGCAGAGTTTGTTAATCGGATTCTGATGACTAAAACTAAATAAAAGGTTTTATAAACGTCACACAGTAACTAGACAGTGTTGTGTGTTATCTGTGTATACCATTAAATGAAAAGAGAGGTAAGGTAAAGATGAGTTGCATTCTTATTTCTGTATAATTTTCCTCGCTTAAAAAATTGAACATTTTATTTATGTTCTATATTACTAGTATAAGACAAACAATAGCCGAGATTTGGAGCTACTACAACCGTACTTCTATAATTATGAAATTTATGGAAATAAGCTTTTAATTAATATATCCTCTACATGGAAGACTAAAAATAACACTTTATAATTAAGAGTTGCTATGTATGTATATATACATTTACATACCGTTCATTCCTTGGCAGAAGATTATATTTGAAATTGCATCCTTCACTGAAATCTGGTAACTCCCTTAGAATGTTAGCTAACTGACTGTATTAGATTCCGATATGCTGGGCTTTTTAGTATTAGTATCACGTGTTATCAAATGTATTTTAATATGGTAACGTAGAAATGACAGTTGTGTTTCTTTTAGCGTCAGATTGAAAAAGGTAATGATTTAATGGAAGAAGCCTCCACATTCGAACCCATGTCGAAATCCTCTGTTGGTGGACATCCTGGGGTGCAAACTTTAGCGTCTTCGCTGGCGAAACATCTATACGATTTTACAGAGCGCCTTGATGACACACGAGAAAGGCTGGAAGACAGTACCAAATGTTACAGCCTTCTAGACCGGGTAATTTACTGGAATGAAGTTTCGTTTCCCTCGAGACAGTGAAAACTTTTGAATATAATATGTTTGACAAAAGTGTTATTTTGATTATTAGTTAAGGACAGGTAATAAAATGTTCAAAAACTAACAGTAACAATACAATCTATATATCTTATTGTATTGTTGTTATTAATTTTTTTCTGTATTGAAAACAGAAAATTCCAGTAATCTACACTTTGATATGCAGTATTTAAATACTGATTCATTTTTATTAAAGTTTCATTTCTTGCTGGATGATCAAGAAAACAAAAATGGACACACTAAATACTTGGTCTTTTAAGAAAAATATAAGTTGGAGATTTTGATTAGTGCTGTCAGGTCTGCTCAAGAAACACCAGGTTGTGCTAGCCAGAAAACACAGTTTCAAGGTTTTGATTAGTGTTATCAGACTTATGGAAGAAATATGTGGTCATGCTAACTGGAAAAATACAGCTTGGAGGTTTTTAATATTGTTGTCAGATTTATTTAAGAAACATCTGGTCATGTTAACCAGAAAAAGACAATTTAAAGGTTTTATACTATTATTGTCAGATCTGTTGAAGAAATATCACCTTCAATCATAAAACACAATTTAAAGATTTTTACTACTGTTGTCAAGTCTATTGAAGAAACATCTAGCATGTGAATGAGAAAAACACAAGTACAGGTTTTTTACTACTATTGTTGTCAAATCTGTTGAAGAAACATCATCATCAACCAGAAAAACACAGTTTAAAGGTTTTTTTTTTACTGTTATTGTCAGCTTTACTGAAGAAACATTTAGCATGTTAATGAGAAAACCCCAATTTTCTTTTACTATTATTGTCAGATCTATTGAAGAAACATCTGGTCATGTTAACCAGAAAATCACAATTTAAAGTTTTTTTACTAATGTCGTCAAGTCTATTGAAGAAACATCTCTTCATCAGAAATATGCAGTTTAGAGATTTTACAGTATTGTCATCATAATTACTAAAAAAAAAACTGACCAGGCCTACACAATAGACGTTTGCATTTTGTACACCAAGGATCACTTGTTAGAAGCAAATCACTAAATAACAAACAAGTCTCTAAACTGAACTAGTAATCTTAAAGTCTGCATTTAAAAAAATTAGTATATTTTCCAATGAACTTGGAAAATAATGAAGAAAGTTTCTCATAGAAAAGAACAATTATATACATCTTTATGTAAAATAACTGAATATAACATAATATTTTATATATGTTTTATTATTATTCTGTAAGCTGTAACAACTAATGATATGATGTTCATGTGACTTAGTAATGTATTATTATTCTTTTTTCTTTTACTATTGACAATAATGCTTGTATTGCTGATGTTGTTAGTTTTGTTTCATTTAGGCTTATGAATGGGCAGTGGAGACAATGAAATTTATATCTCATCTGAAAACGGAGAAGACAACAAATTCCACGGAACTAATAAAACTAACTAAATCACTTCAAGACTATGTGGACAACAATCCACCAATTAGTGAGGAAATATTCCATGAAATGATAAGCTTGGCCACAAGACTGGAGAATGAAAGCCTACTTGAGCAGTGTAGAGTAAGTGTACAGTCAGTATTCATGAAATAAGCATAACTAACGTTTCTGTTATATATAATTTATATCAACAACAGCCATGGTAGAATTGTAGCACTAAGAATATAAAGTGATACTAAACCTGGCAGTGACCAACTTATACCTATTGTTACGACAGCGGGGGGCACGTGCCTCTAGTAACGCGTCATGTTCTCGAACGTTTACGTCCCTTCCTGAGGTCGCGAGAGGCTA